CTTTTATATACCAGCCTACCCTATCTAGCAAATACTAGAGCATTCCTGAAAGAACAAGATAGTTCTAGAAACTAGAGGGCGCCACACCAGTCACGTGACCTCGATGACGCAACAACCCTTTTCCTTTCATCAATCACCGTTCTCGAATTACTTGCTGGGTTTTCCCAGTCTGGAACATGGTCCTAACGTTCCATGTTCCGATCTTAGTAGTGTTTTTTGCATTGAGGATCGGACATTTCCGAAACAAGACTTCCTTTCGGCTTTGATTCTGCCTCTCCATGTTGCTATCACTTGCCACTTGTGCAACTGACATGCTGTCTTCCCCTCTTTGCTTATGTTTACCGGAATGGCTACTTCTCGTTGTTTCTTTAGCAATATTGGATAACGACATGGAGTTGCTAGCACCACGGTCGTCCCTCCCCCTTTCTCAAACGGGCTTGGGACCGTCTAAGGCGGAGTTGATGGAAACTAATAGGCCTAATATTCATGACACTTGTGCTAAACTTTGGACTTCATGAAATAAACTCTTTACTACATACAGTTGGTTCAAACATATTTTCACAAGACTTAAATAGGTGAAGATTTGATGTATTTCTTAATCACTGTACTTCTGTCTTTGGATATATAAAATGTAAAGCCATACTATAAAATGGATCAACACACAGAAACTGGTTTGAAATGTGGGCAACTGTTTAAGTTGAATAAATATCAAGTGTTTATAAAGCAATCTTCATAATCAGCTTTAATGCCATTTACACATTTATAATTACTACAGTTATTCTATGAAAGAAATTGTTGTGTAAATGAACCAAAAACTGTACTGAATATGTGAAATGTACATAATTCCAGCTTCAAAAATATTCATACAAAATTAAGCTGCTTTTTTTGCCAATTTCTATCTACCTTGATTTATTAAAATTTGGTTAAAAACATGTAGTTAATTGTAATAACTTATTATTATTTTCTTTATGATTTCCAAGTTTTGGTTTTGTCTACTTAACTTATCTATATCAAATATAAAAATTAAAGTGATGTACATCCTCAATTTATAAACCATATTCGATGACGAGGAACCCACTTTGAGACTAATAATGGTTGGAGACGGCTTGAATTGGTAATGAGAAAACTTTAATATAAGTTTAACACAACAGCAAATGAACAATGTTTCAACCTGATGATGACAAAACCTTGTCGAAACGTTTTACAGTTGCTGTTGTGTTAAACTTATATTAAAGTTTTTCTTC